CATGACAAAGAGACACTCTGCTCCTGGCAGCACCAATCTACTTCAAGAGGAAGATGGGCATCGAAGAGGATCCTTATGGAGTTTGATAGCCATTTGGGCAAGAAACTGCTCTTGCCTGGACTATTGCATAAACTGGACACAGACAACCCGCAGAGAGAGGACTGCTGAACTTGCCTAAAGGTGAGATGATCTTTCGGGGTTCCTGATTCATGAAAGAGTCTGCAAGTCATTCTTCAGGACAAGCAGATAGTGACTGCCTTTGAAATTTCCTGCTTTGTGGAAATGTCTGCTGGAAACTATGGGCCTGTAGGCCGAAGATGGATGCCCCAATGGTATAGAGGAACTTTGGGTGACTGTCCAGGCAGCGAGATGTCTCTGTCATTTCTAGAGTTTTGGATTTCTCGTTTGCTTAGGTAATAGTATATCTTTCTTGAGTCTTTGATGGAGTTAAAGAATTGTTAGTTATAGTTTTCCTTAGTTATGATATAGATTATTGTAATTTTTATTTGATAACTGTTTTGTTATATGTAATTTTGCTATGTTAAGTTAAAGCCTTCCTTTTTGTTTAAACAGAAAAAGGGGAAATGATGGAGGAAGGTCATTGGTTAATTATAATAAACCAACTGCTTGGCCTCATAGCTTAGAACATAGATGGGAGGAGTAAACAGAATAGAATTCTGGGCAGAAGAGGAAGTGAGGTCAGACTCTGCTCTGCTTCCAGAGGGACCGGACAGCTCTGCTCTCTGGAGCAGAGACACCATGCTCAGCACTCCCAGGTAGACACAATAGCTCTGCGCTCTGAGGCAGATGCATGGAGCTCAGACCCACGATGGATGGAGGCTAGAATCTTCCCGGTAAGCGCACCTTGGGGTGCTTACACAGATGATTAGAAATGGGCTAAATTAATATGTGAGAATTAGCCTAGAAGAGGCTAGATAGAAATGGGTCAAGCAGTTAAATGAATACAGTTTGTGTATTGTTATTTCTGGCATGAGCTAGCCAAGCGGCCGGGGTGTTGGGGACGCAGCCCCGCCGCTGCTCCTTATTTCAACACATAGGCAACCACAAAATGAAGTACATACTAGAGAAACTAGCTTGTGCTTGTAAAAAGGTCAAGGTCTTTAAAGTAGGGAAGACAGAGAAACTGTTTCAAATGAAGGGAGCTTAAAGATACATGGTACCTAAATGTCATAAAATGGTGGAGTCACTCCTAGGCCAGGGAAAAATACGGACCAATAAAAAATATGAACAAAATTGACATTTGGATATAGGAAGCGAAAGCAATGATAGCATTGTATGTGATGTTAAATGTCTCTATTTTTTAATTTATTTTTTATTTATTTAATGTCTTTATTTTAATTAGTGTACTATGCTTATACAACAGAATGTCCTAGCTTTTAGAATATGGAAAAGAAGTATTTAAATATAAAGGGACTCTTTTTGAATCAGGTGTAGGTGTCTTAAAATGCTTGGTGAATGTGAATGTGTGTGTGAGCATGTGTGTTCAGTTGTTCAGCTGTAGGTACTTCAAAATGTTTTGTGTGTGTGCATGATCTCACCTATCCATCAAAAGAATCATAAATTAAGTATACAAGGCAACTGTAAAAATTGATTCATCTAACTAAAGAATGCACAAAGGTCCTTGTGCTATTGTTTCCACTTTTCTTATGTTCAAACTATTTTAAAATAAAGAGTAACAGAAGAGCTAAATATTTCCCCAAATTTATTTAAAAATTCATGTGTGCATAACATTTAGGCCTAGAGAGTTGCTATAATCTTTTCCGTACATAAAAACCACTCCCATAATCTCAAACTTCCTCTACTCATAATAAGTATTGTGTTTGTTATGGGTTGTCTGGAATGTGTCACATTATCAGTCTATGTAATAGAAACACCTTGAAATGCAAGGGACACCGAGTGTGTTTGAGGTTTCTACTCCCATGGCTTTGCTCCTGTAGGAAAGCTTTGGATTCCTTTCTCTACCTCTTCGGAAGGAGAAATCTTTCCATGTGTGCACGTGCCTGCGTTTGTATTCATTCCACCATTAGAGCATTACGAATGCAGGCAAATCTCATCACAGTTCCACAGAACATATGCATTAGTCTTGGTGCTTTCCTCTAGACACACATTTTGCTTGCTGGTGCACAATCCGTGCCAACTTGATCCATTTTAATTTTTAACTTTATTAATTCGGTCCCCTTCTGCATGTGCAACGAATCGTATGGAAAGCCAATTATACCCCTCAGAGCCATCCATATAGTTGTTTCAGACATGGCAAATGGTTGAAGACTCCTCAGTTACTAAGTTACTAGCCAGTCTTGAGGACTGTAGGAAAGGCATGTTTGGATAGTGGAGGAGGGATGCATCGTTTACTGACACAAGCTGACAATTATTCTTAATACGTGGACTTCTCTACACTCTTTCAATCCAGCAGCCACTCAGGTGGGTACCATCACTCCACAGCCCGCCACAAGTTCACAAGTGATTCCCATCAGAGCTGCCTCCCTCACATCCCTCTTGAGTCTCACCATTTCCTCTCGTTCTCAAATCATTGGAATAGGCTGGCCCTTATTCCGTTGCCCACAAGCTTCTGACCCCTATTGAGGATCACACCACCACAACTGGTGGGAGCCTAATGCAACCTCTCTCTCCAGGAGCTGTTATTCATCCCCCCTGCCATCTTCATTTTTTAGAATAAGAAGCACAGCAGGCCAGAGATGATGATGAGGCCTCTGGTGGTGACCATGACCATGTTTGCGGAAACCTCCTAAGAACTCTTTCCAAGACACCATTAGTGGCTCCTCACCTACCATCCACACACTCAGAGGTCCTGTACAATTAACAATTAATAAAGAAATGATGAAATTCCCTTGAGCAAGGGACAAATTCCAAGCTGGTTTAGTACTGGTTATAACTTAAGGACAGGTGTAATATTGTTTGTCACTTTCAATGGCAAAGACTGACAACCTACATTTGCCCCAAGAACACCCTGAATAAATAGTTTACACAAAGCAGAATATTTACGGCTTTGAAAAGAATGAGAAAAGATTTTCCAAACTGAAATGGAAATATTTCAAGGGGGGAGAGGAGGCGGCTCAGTTCATAAACTGCCTGCCGTGGAAGTATGGTTACCTAATGCAGACCACATGAAAGCCTGACATAGGCACTCCGTGTGTGTAATGCCAATTTCCTTACGGAGAGGGAGAAGGTTGTGGCAGGACAACCCCTAGATGCTTGCAGGCCACCCTGCCTGGCATCTGAAGTGGTGAAAAGCAAAGAGACCCTGTCTCATATAATGTGAAAGATGTGAATGATGAGGACAGAGACACGTTGTCCGTGGGCAGTCACGCATGCACCATGGCACCTGCACACTCAGCACACAACACATACATCAAGCGTGCACACACATACTCGCACACACACACGTGCACACACACACACATGTGCGCGCGCGCACACACACACACACACACACTACAGACACAAAAGTGTTTGTGGTAATTGTTTGATTTTTTTTTTCTTGAGACAGGATCTCACTTTGTAGTCTTGGCTGGCCTGAAGACTCCTTGCATAGACTTGCCTGGCCTTAATGTTAAGGTAATCCACTTGCCTCTGCCTTTTGAGAGCTGCATCACTCTGCCTGGATTTTTAACTTATTTTTAATGGCTGCTTTTTGGTGTATAAAATAATGGCTCTCATTATGATACTGCCTGTAGTCATTTGAATGCTATCGCCCCCATAAACTCATAGGAAGTGGCACTATTAGGAGCTGTGGCTTTGTTATAGGTGTGAAGGCAGGCTTTGAGGTCTCATATATGCTCAAGACACCACCCACTGATACAGCTGACTTCCTATTGCCTTTAGATCAAGATGTAGAACTCTCAGCTCCTTCTCCAGCACCACATCTGCCTGCATGCCTCCATGATTCCTCATGATGATAATGGACTAAACCTCTGAAAAATGTAAGCCACCCCAATTATATATTTTCCTTTATAAGAGTTGCTGTGGGCCGGGCGGTGGTGGCTCAAGCCTTTAATTCCAGCACTCGGGAGGCAGAGGCAGGCAAACCTCTGTGAGTTTGAGGCCAGCCTGGTCAATGAGAGCTAGTTCCAGGACAAGCTCCAAAGCAAGACACTGTCATACATAATCATTGTACTCTACCTTCACTAATTTACTAATTTGTCCTCTCCCTTCTACCCCCAAATAGTTTCTGACACACATGTATGTAGCTAACATATAGCTATGTAGCTAAATGTACATTCTATTTATCTCATATGGGTGTAGTGTGTATATATATGTAAATATTATGTACGTAAATATTCTTAAGAGTTTTCAAACACATTGATGTGTTACATGTTTAGAAATAAAATCAATCTCGTGGTAGTTCATGAACTCTGGACCAACAATTAGGGAGCTGGCATGGTACTGACCTAGGCTCTCTACATATGAGTGGACAGTTGTGTAGCTTGGTCTGTCTGTAAGGCTCCTAGCAGTGAGATCAGGACCTGTCCCTGGCACTTAGCTGGCTTTTGGGAACCTCTTTCCCATGCTGGATTACCTTGTCCAGCCTTGACTCAAGGGGAGGAGCTTGGTCCTGCCTCAACTTGATGTGCCAGGCTTTGTTCAAGCCCAAGAGAGGCCTGACCTTCTCTGAAAGGAAATGGAGGATGGGTGGATGGGGAGGGGAATAGATGGGAGGTGGGGGGAGGGAGAATGGAAGGAGAGGAGTGAGGGAAAACTTGTGGTCCGTACGCAAAATTAATGAAAAAAAAGTTATTTAAATAACATAAGAAAAGGGGGAAAAAGTCAAATAAACTAGGGCGTGAGCTTGTAGTCTCAGCAATCTCAGTTTCTAAGGCAGGGTGGATCACTAACCCCTGAGTTCAAGTCCAGCCCAGGTAGTACCATGAGATTCCGGCCACCTCAGAAGACAAAAAGTACAGAAGGAGAACTGAAGTAAGTAAAAAGAAGACTCAAAGCACCACAGTCCAGACAACAGGTTTTGAAACAGAACTGCGTGCTTTATTGAGATACACAGTAAAGCAGTAATATAATACAATAGTAAGGCATATATTTGGTGAAGTCTGATATGTTGTGAAAATGAAGAAAAACTGAAGTTTAAAAAAATAATTAGTAAATGTTACAGTGTTGGTGTTCAAACACAATATACTATGATACTCAAGTAAGAATCCAGTACCTGGAAACAATGGTGATACATGCCATGTGATGTTTATGCTTCAGTTACACTGATTATGATTTACACTTTAATACTTGATGGTTATAAAGAACATGAAATGATGTCCAAATTACGCTTAAACTCAGCAATAAAGCTCTCAGTTTTTGTTCAAATATTTTGATAGATTCACTCCAGATCTAACATCTAAAAGATAAAACAAAACGATTAAAACAAATTTATGCACTCAATCTATCTACCTCTGATTTTAGAATGAAACTTAAAACTTCTCAGTAGGATGTAAAGTAACCCCTTGTTTTAAATCTTAGTTAAACCCTTGGGTAAAGAAAATATCCGGCATCACATAAAAGAGAAAAATAATGCAAGACTAAAACCAAATCGCAATGTTTTTTTTGTTGTTTTTTGTTTTTGTTTTTTTTTTTTAACCTTAGAGCTTTGGGTTTTCTTTTGGAAATTATAAAAGAAAAAGAGAGAATGGCGTCCACACAACAGACAATTGGTGAAGCTGTGAAATTAGGTGTGCACAATTACCAGGAACACCCCAAAAGCAAAGTGAGGTAGAAATAGCATGAGAAGCTGTGTTTGATGTTAATTACAATTAATGATGTACAAACTCCACTCTCTAAAAGTTAATTACACTAGAAGTTAGAGGTAACAGATTTGCAAAATAATAGGACAGTGATTTCTAGTCAAACGATGATTTGTAAATGCTGTAGTTATACAATGGCGTGAAAGAGGAAGTAAAGCTTTTCCTACCAGTCCTTAGCTTTCACCTTCACTTTTTCTCCTCTTTTTTTCAATGATCTGCATTTGTTTATAATTTAGCCTGTCAGATTTACCAGAGGGTTCTGAGAGGCTTTTGTTCTTGAAACTGTCAACTTGCACCTTCCCACTCACAGTCCTGTATGGAATTACTTGCAGGGAAACCAATGCAAAAAGGACAAATGCAGTTCATGGACTTCTGGATTGACATTCACCAGGGTCACCATGTGATTGGGTTACTTTCTTACCACTAATCTTAAATCTTGCAGCATTAAAAAAAAAAAAAAAACCTCATCACAATGAAAAAACAAAATCTAAAATCTAAAAAATCAACAACAGCAACAGCAACAGCAACAACAACAACAACAATACTACCCTCTTCAGTTTGAATGTAAGAGGGCAGAACAATTTTGTTGTGATTATAGAGATGTCTGTATGTAGAGTGGTGAATATTCATCCCACTCTTTTACAGAGTAGCTGCTCCCTCATTGGGATTGACTGGGGAGTCACAAGCCTCAGCCCCTACCATCTTCCTCCTATTGTCCAGGAGTGAAAAATGCCTTCTGATGCTCTTTTGCAGAAACATCATTACATATAAACCATGGCATAGTCAGCAGTAGGAAGCTGAATATATCAACCAACAGATTACTCTGATACAGTGAGTCCTGTGTATTTATTCACATGTTCCTGAAAAAAAAATCGAAGCTCTAGTTGTCAGTGGAAAGTTTAAAACTAGATACATCTGGAGCCCGAAACAATATTTTAGTATGGTAGTGTTCTCCTGGCTTCAGGCTCCAGGGAAAATTCACTCTTGCCCAAGCAGATAAACCCAGATGACTTGAAGCAATTTATTTCAGTTAGGAAGTGGCAAGAACATTTGAAGAAGAAATTTCATATCTATTTATCTATACACCTATAGTATTTTTTATACTTGTAGACATATAGATGTATAAAATGAAAGTCCATAGCCAGCCCCACTCAGTCAACAATTCTCAAAAGAGCAATATGAAGCAGTCATTTGGTGGTGTTAGAGGAAGTCCTATCTTTAATATGCAAGAAAAGAAATCATGAACTCCATATGAATACCACGCTCAAATAATGCAAAACAATGTGCTGCCTCATTGTGTGTGCGTGTGTGCGCGCGCGCGCTCGTGTGTGTGTGTGTGTGTGTGTGCATGTGTGTGTGTTTAGGGGTTTTATAAACAACATTTTTTTATAAAGTACACTTTAGTTTACAATCTTTCTTTATAACTGTTATAAATTTTTAAACAACCCAAAATGCGTTCCATATAAAGAAATGGCAAGTTATTTAGCTATCAAGATTTTACATGTAGTTTTCTTTTAACTTTTTTTGTACAATTGCATAGACGTGTAAAACCTGCCATTGTTAACAAAACAATAACAGACTTAGAAACTACTGAAATCTACAGTATAGTACCACTACCCTTCACAAAAATATAGATTTTATTTCTTGTAAACTCTTACTGTCTAATCCTCTTTGTTGTACGAATATTATAAAAACCATGCGGGAATGAGGAGTTGTAAAACATTTATTCTGCTCCTTCTTCATCTGTCATGACTGAAACTAAGGACTCCATCGCTCTGCCCAAATCATCTGCCATGTGGAAAAGGCTCCCTACATTGTGTCCTGAAAAACAAAGAGAAAGAAAGACTTTAGAGAGGGCTCAGGTATTGTTCCCCTGATCGCCATTATGGGGAGTCATTCCCATTTCAGGGTAAAGACAACACAGGGGCTGCATTGAAGTTACACACACAGTTCCACTTTCCACCCGTGTTCAGGAAGAAGCAAAGCCTTGTTAATGAAGCATTACATGGTGTTAGTATCAGCTAAATGCTGGATCAGCCTACTGGTGTCATTTGATGAAAATAAAAGTGAAGCATTGAATTTAACTTCCCAATTCCAACTTCCCAACTCATCTCAAAGAAACGTCAAAGACAAGCACAAGGCTCTTACTACAGAGAACATTTTGTAATGGGTTCTTTCTCATTTTGTTGTATTTACTACAACTATATTTATTCTGCTGTATATACTACAGATTTCCTATCAAACCACGACTCCTTCCCCTACTACCTTCACCGTTACCACCATCGGCACCCTGACAACCACACGAACTCTTCATTTACTGGCTACTTCAAGCTGTGATACTATAGTGGGTAAGACCATTTTCTTTCCGCTTTTACTTTGGTTGAAAAATAAACTCTAGATTTGACCTTTTTGTGCACCATTCACATTTAAATTAGAAAGCCTCAGAACAAAAACCACTTTCCATTCCAAATTGCTCTGCAGCCTAATTATAATATGACCTATGTGTAGAGCAAAGATTTGGGGATCCTGAGAATCCATTTTTGCTGGCCCACTAAATGAGGGTTAACTATCAAAATAGCCTTTTCATAACAATGTGGCATGACCCGGCATTAATCCCCCAACATGGAATCAAGAGCATAATGTCTGTGGGTACTCTAGCAAAACTAACATCTACAATAGGATAATCTGAGATACACTTTACAGCTCTCTCTTTTTTTTTATATGTCCTGTATTTCACGAGTCTAATTTTAATTCTTCAACCTTGGTAAGTCATTCTCTTTTTCAAGTACTGTCTTTGGAAATGAGATGCTTTATTAGGCCATTACTACCCTATCATGCATCGACTTAACAGAGTCTCAGAATTCCTAAAATCCCAATAAACGGCAAAGAGAGAACAGAGCATGTGTTCTGTTATTTATTTCAATAGAGACATACCTTTTTAAAACAAAATATGGGAGAATTAGAAGTGGGTTCATGGGCAAGAACTTATACAGTGATGGCACCAGATCGATTCAAGATTTAGAAAATGTTTAATGCCACTCAGGTACTTATATCACCTTGGGTAAGTAAGTTTGTAAATCTCTCTAAGTTTTATTTGTGCAGAGAATTTTGTTTAACTGAGAGCTAATTATGTTTAAAAATTACTTTGGATTTTGTTTGAGACTTCAAATAGGAGGCGGTGGCGGGGAAGAGACAGAAATCTTTAATAAATAAATAAATGGAAAAAAATGTTTAACAGAGCATATGTACTATTCATAAAGTGGGCCAATGTTCTGGTAGTAAAAAAAAAACCTGGACTCATTTTCATTTTCTAGTCTCATATGGATATTAGAATATATATAATAACATAGGAAAGCCAGGTACACTAGTGCATGTCTATAATCCCAGTACTCAAGGAAGAGGATGTCAAAGTCAAGGCCAATGTGGGCTACACAATGAAATCCTGTGTTTAACAAAAAAACCAACAAACGTAAAATAAGAACACAAGCTCAGGAAGACATAGTGGAGCCCCTTGTTATTCTGTGGATCTCAGAATGCAAATATACAAGTGAAAGCCATAAGTTGGAGGGAGTCCCCTGCATCTACTTTTCACTGCACAGCATCCCTGGAGCATCTTCACAATTATTCACACACTTCAAAGTCGATGGAGTAAATGCAGTTTTTGAAGTATTAGCAATCTTAAGAAAGCCAGTAAAATATCCTTAAAGCCTGGCAGTGAAGATAATTCCAACTGTATCTTATGACACATTATCTGACCCTAGGATACTACCTAATAGATAACATATTTTAAAATATAAACAGAGCAGGGAATACCTTGGCTTTTCCTATTAATTTATGGAAATTCAAAACTAACCTTTTAAGACTGCTGGCTAGAGGTTATATACTACAGTTCAAAAGATAGTAAAATAAATTAATGTACTAATAGAATACATTCCCAAGGGATATTTCCAGTATTTAAAATGGTGTTTAGTTACTACCTGGAAAAAACACTTGACTCTCCATAAATACTAGTTCTAGTGGGTTTCTGTTATTCCAAACGTTGCCAGAAGAAAGAGAGGCTCATTGATGTTAATATACTACACACACTATCATAAAATGTTGGTGGTATTAACCTGTTTAGAGTGTTTAGTGTTGGTAAGAGACTTTATGATCATTCTTATGATATATAAAATAAAACTTTTATAGGTGGCTTGCTATATTTACATCATATGCTTGGTATTACATATTGGGTAACATAATTTATAAATACCCATTTTACCAGAATAATGATTTTATTTTTATGGAAGCTTGTATTAGATATAGAAAACAAACAAAATAAAACCAAGTTCAGCTGGGCGATGGTGGCGCACGCCTTTAATCCCAGCACTCGGGAGGCAGAGGCAGGCGGATCTCTGTGAGTTCGAGACCAGCCTGGTCTACAGAGCTAGTTCCAGGACAGGCTCCAAAGCCACAGAGAAACCCTGTCTCGAAAAACCAAAAACAAACAAACAAACAAACAAAAAAAACCAAGTTCATTATTTTTGATAAAATACAGCCCCCCCAAAAAAAACTTTCATCCATTGGAGGGATAAAACAGGGATAGAGGACACAGATTTGTATGCATCATGGTTCTATTATCCTTTTGTGTAAGGAAGAACATTAGTGAGGTCATCAACTTTACCTGATAAAAATCTAAAAATATTATTCAAATATTATACTATAAACAAAGAGGTCAAAAAGTAGCTTCAAGGAACAGCAATGTGCTTTGGGCACAACTTGACAAAAATGTATCTATAGAAAGTATCCGTTTAATCCATTATTAAGCGAGGATTATTGAACACAAAGGCACCATGAGCTGAACATTAGGAGAGTTTTATGTTTTTCCAAGTTGGCACTCATCGCAACACATTTAGTCTCACATGCCACCACTGCCTAAGGGAGTTGTTTTCCACAGTGATTGGAATTGAGACTTTCTGGCAAAGATCCAAGACCTCAATAGCAATCTGGCACTCTATTTTTTTTTTAATTCAATTCCCAAACAAATGGTTAGCATTCAATTGGCCAAAGCAAAACCAGAAAACTGTGGCAAAATAGGCTTATCTTTTCCCCTCCATAATTTTATCTCTAAAAAAAAATTGGCCAAGTGTGAGTTCAGGGTATTTTCATCGCCTTATCAACATCATTATGGTTGTGTCTCTGTGATGTCTGGGAACTTATCTGACTACTGGGACTCTCAGGTAGTAGTCACTGATTCAATTCAGTCTGCGAGACTGTGAAAATATTTATTCACGAATGAAACATGCTCAAGGATCTCAAAATTATTATAGATTTCTTGTCCACAAAAAATGTGAAAATTTAAAGTGGGCACTTACCATTAGAATCAGCCAAAAAGTCTCACACGGTAAGTACGTGAGTCGGGAGGATTCAATGCATCACTGATTCAAGTTTTCTTAGTTTCTCCTCCAGGCTAGTGTTCCCTCCCTAGAACTTCCATCCTTTTCAGGGACATCAGTGTAGACACCCCAAGAATCATTACAATTATTATAATGGCATAGCAGGGTCTTGGCAGAATTTTTAGTATAACTACTTAGGTTTTAAACATGCTTTATATTATTTTCTACTGTTTTCAACTGTGTGTACTTGTGAGGGCGGTTGTGCATATGTGAACAGAGACCCATTGGGTTCCCTGGAGATGGAGTTACAGGTGGTTGTGTGTCTCCCAGCATGGGTACTGAGACCCGAACGCAGGTGCTCTACAAGAGCAATATGTATATTTCACTACTGGGCCATCTCTCCAGCCCCGTGACTACTTATGTTTAAATGTATCAGTGGCCACTTAGACAAGCATTCCTTCTGTGCTAAGGATCCAGCTCACATCTAAAGAACATTCTAACTCTCCAGCTTATCTCTCAGATCAGCATATACCAGTGTCACATACCAGCATATACCAGCGGCATCTCTTGGGAGAGCTTGCCTGCCCCCTTCCTTCATATTAAGCTCTTGGGCAGGGCAATCTTATTCCACTTGGGCTGTCACTTAGCACGTGGTCACCCAACAGTCACTTGAGTAGGTAAGTCAATGTTCAGGTCATGAAGAAGCAGCATTTCATCACTGAATAACATGTATTCAGTGTTAATGCTGCACCTACTCATTCCAGTCCTTAAAAGGGTATTTAAAAAAAAAATATCAAAACCCTAACATTCATTTTTTTAACCCTAACTGGTTACTATTCTGTTTGGTTCCAAATGACACAGAGTCTTCTAAAGGACATGTTGAGACGATGTAAGCCTTTCAACTACTGGGAAAACGAACGTGGCACACAAGTCAGGCTTCCTGGACTCCATCCTTGGCTCTGCCACCCTGGACACTTCGCTTCCCCACTTTTTGATTCAGTTACCTTAAGTGTGAAAAAATAAGAGTTCAGAAGAGTACCTACCTTTGTGTTTGTCATGAAGATTATGTGACACAAAAATAAACGGCAAATGCCTACAACAGTGCTTGGCACACAATACATGCTGGAAAAAAACTTAGCTAAAATGGAAATGAAGGAGTGTAGGAATGAGGGAAAGAAGAAAAAAAATCAAACCAAAAATAAATAAATAAATAAATAAAAGGAGGTCATCTCAGAAGAATAAAAACCAAAGACTCGGGCAGAAAATGCTCAGGTCCTGGAAGTGGAAGGAAGCTTTATGACTCATCAACCATGTTCAAGGTAAAACTTATTTTGAAGATTCTGTTTGTGTTGCAGATGGCATCAGATATGAACCGCAAAGTTCCAACTTCGGGGCTAGAAAGGGTTCTATATGTTTCAGAGACTCCTGTTCCCCCAACCCCTGTTGTTGTCATGGAGATGACAACGCTGATGAACATTTGAGGAAGGCTCCTCATGAGCTGCAAGTGGAGAGGCGACGCCCATCTTCAGATGATGAGAGAATGTATAATACACACATGCGCGTGCACACACACAGTTCTTACACAAGGGCCAGACACAGAAAGCAGGATGAGACAGACAGAAGCCATGGCTGTGAGCCCAAGTCTCACTAACCTCTCTCATTGGCTTTCCAGGGGCATTTCTTCCTTTAATAATAGAGAGAGGAAGAGGCAGAGATATCAGAAAGGAAGAATAAAACACGCATAAATATACAGTTTCATTCCAATTTGCTTCTTTTACCAAACAGATATTGAGGTGACAATTCATTTATTCCCTTCTAGGAAAAAAAGAAACAGAAACAAAAATTCCACAAACATCTAATCAAATAACCTTTGCATACACTTAAAGTCAGTGTAAACAGATAACAAGACCCAAAAGACATCATTTATAGTATCCATAAATCTCACACATTAAACTGGAGGAAAATCACACAGAATAGAAATTTGACAAATAGTGGCATTGTTTTCAAGGGTGACTGTAATAGAATCTCAAGCTTGGTATTCACCAATCTCATAATCTCTTCACATTTGACTTGACAATCAATGCATTAAAACACCAAAAGTTGTTTATTGTGTGTCAAAGCAGAGCCCCACAGAGGACATGGACTCTGTCCTCTTAGGAATAATGTGTTCTAGATCCTTGAAGCTGAGGAAGTCCGTGACGGGAGTGGGTGGTGAGGAATAAAAAGAAAAGATGAGAGAAAGGGGTAAGTCCCACTAATGGACAAACAACAGAACGAGATCTGAAAACGAGCATTCACCCTCTTCCTCTGAATTCAACAAGTATCAGGAACATTTAGAATCAATGGCTAAAGACTGTACTTGTTTTATAGAACCTCATGCATACAATTAAGCCTACTGCTTTGAAAAGATAGTCTGTTAAGAAGCTATTCTATGATAATGTTCATAATTGGACATGCTATTTTATGTCTCCAGGATGTTCAAAAGCCCAGGGGCTTTTGATTTTAGCTATGGGACAGTTCTTCACACAGGCTCACATGAAATTTCCACATTTTGAGGAGATAAAACCAATAGCTGTGCAAGATCCTATCCGACATTATCATTCTCTCCACCTCTCCATGCTCGGTGTCTTCAAAATGGTCCTGGAAACACTACTCTAGAATGTAGATACAGAGCTGCAAAGGGCACCTTTTATAACTCATATTTGAGGATTCAAACTTGTGATGTATGTGTAAGATGTGACATTTCTTTACTCCCTCCTTCTCTTCCTTCTTTTCTTCCTTCTGAATTTGACTAAGGGGGGCGGGAGTCAGAGATTATTTGACCATGTAAAACTATGCATTCATGCTCTTCCTTGAGCCAGGGGCAAGAGGAAAAATGTGTACAGCAGTGTGTGTTACCAGAAGCAAACTCACACGGAAGGCAGAAAGGGGAGGAGACCATCATTTCATACTTTGTGGCTCAAATAAACCTACTATGGAGTACTCTTTCTTTTGGACTCTTCGACAAGATTTCTTTTAAAAAAACTTAAAAAGAATCCTTTTAGTTCAGAGCTCTATTGTCCGGTGGCAGAGTTAATTCTCTTTTATAAGGCTGTGGCTTTATGAAGGAGAGGGCCCACATCTTGGCCACCACTCTGTCCTCAGTCTTTTGTATTATACGTGGATGCTACTGGTATTTTGTCAATGCCCCTGAAACTGAATTAGTCTTGATTGTCAACCTGAAATACCATGGAAGAGGAATCTCCAATAAGACTGGCTTGCCAGCAGGTGTATATGGGCATTTTATTGATTGGTAACTAATGTAGGTGGGCCCAGCTCACTGTGGGTGGTATCATCCCAGGGCATGTGAACCTGAGGTGTATAAGAAACAATAGCAGATGAATGTGAGCTTGGTAGAAAGCCATTGAGCAGTGTTCCTCCATGGTTTCTGCTTCAGTTCCTGCCTCCAGATTTCTGTGATGGCGTCCCTTAATGATAGACACTAAAGTGTAAGATGAAATAAACCCTTTCTTCACCCAAGGTGCTTTTGGTCTGTGTTTTCTCAAGCAATAGAGGAGAAAAGTAGAACATTATGGTATCAGTGAGGTCATGGCCAAGGTCTTTTCTGTGTTAGGAGTCTGAGTGCTATCCTTCAGAGTAGTGGTTCTCAACCTTCCTAATGCTCTGACCCTTTAGTACAGTTCTTCACGTGTTGAGCCCAACCATACAACTATCTTGTTGCTACTTCATAACTGTAATTTTGCAACTGTTATGAATTGTAATGTAAATATCTGATATGTGACCCCAAAGGGATCATGACCCACAGGTTGAGACCAGCTGCTCTAGAGGTTGGACTCCAAGAGCTAACACTATGTGCTGGCCTGTAACTTTACCTTTAACTTTGGCAAGGACAGTGTTGTGACAAAACTATGATTTCTACTCAGAATGTGATTTCTTGAATAAACAAGATTACAGATCGTTATCAATGCCACATGGAGACACATTCGGGTGACTGTCAACTGGCTACTGCTGAAAATAATGCAGCAATTGATATTTGATCTGTCCCGGGTACTTTTCAGAAGGCCTATTTTATGTAACCCCAGTTTCTCTCCAAATCATCTCTTGTCACTTGGTTTCCCATAGACTCACAAATAATTTACAAAAGAAAAGGCCCTTTTTCTAGAGCTAAGTTCAATGTTTTCTCCTGTCCTAAAGATAGTTCCTCACTGAGAAAATACAAACTACAGGGTTGGGACATTTTAACATGGTCTTGAACAGTAAATAAGTGCAAATGTCCACTTGCATACTTTATTTCATGCATGTGTGTTTTAGAAAGTTTCTTTGCTCTTCAGTTACGGTGTGCATCTGACAATGTGGTTGTTATCAGGAAATGAATCAAGAGAAAAGGGAAGTGTGCCTGGGCGGTCCTAGCTATAAATCAGGGGCTTGGTCAGGTCTGGAGAAGTCTGGTTTCCTGAGGCAAGAACTTGAGATTACTGACTAGAACTCATGGTTTCAGAAAAAGAATGGGGAGAAATTATTGTTTTCGAGGTGCCTTTGCCTTCAGCTTTCTTAGGTCACTTGTGGCTTAAAAATATTCTAACAGTTAGGATTTAAGGTTGATAACCATTTTAGGGTTTCTCTTTTATTACTAGTCAAATGTGATTCAAATGTCTGTACTTTAAATACTAAATAAACAGGCTCTCTGGTGTACAGACAGAAATGTATAAAGCAATTCATCTCTACAGCTTTGCTGAGCCGAAACCTGATCCACCCTGAGGCTTGTGGTTGTGTACAAGAGTCTGAATGGACACAAAATAAAAGTGTAAGGCAGGGCTGAGCAAATTTTCTCTGCAAAGCACAAGGCAGTAAACACTTTAGGGTATATAAGCCACACAGTCGCTGTAGCATTTATTCAATTTGGTCACAACTACACTGCTTTTAGGGCAACCATGCACGCTATGTAAGTGAGTGGGTGTGGCTATATCCCAATAACCTTCATTTATACAAACAATAGGGGGCTGAACTGGGCCCAAAAATTGTAGCTTATTGTTCTCCAGTGTAAGTGAATAATTTACCATAAACTTTGTTGCTTTTATAGGAAACAATGGTGCTTGTAGAAGGTGGGAGTACATTTGGCCTGATTTAAAGAAAATTATATTTTATTTTATGTGCATGGGCATTTTCCCTACATGTATGCCTGTGTACTACATGCCTGTCTGGTGCTCACAGAGTCTAGAAGAGGGCACCAGATTCCCGTGAAACTGGAGTTAGAGATGGTCATGAGCAACCATATGGGTGCTGGGAACCAAACCTGGGTTCTTTGGGAAAGAAGCCAATGCTCTTAACTGTTGAGCTATTTATCTAGGCCCTGCTTACTTTCATATTCTCTCTCTCTCTCTCTCTCTCTCTCTCTCTCTCTCTCTCTCTTTCTCCCTACATATCATCTATCTATTTATTTTGATGCTGGGGATTGAACCCAGGCCCTTGTTCATTAAGGATGTGTT